AGAGAGAGAGAGAGAGAGAGAGAGGAGGTGGGAGAGAGCGAGAGAGAGAGAGTGAGGAGGTGAGAGAGAGAGAGAGAGTCAACAGACAAATTTCTCACAGTAAAAATTCCCATGCATAAACTCATGTTTGAGTATCCAAATTATGAGGCTGATCTCATTCCTCTCACGTGAATACCATGAACACTAAAGCCAATAAATTGACTGATTTCTCAGTTTAAGATCCTCTATGTACTACCAAAAAAGAAAAAGAAAAATTTCTAAACAATTCAAATCCCAACATGGCCACCTCTTCTTTCTAAGTGATAACTTAGTGGTGCTGATTTCAGCTTTTGCAGAGCTTCAATCTATGCTCTTCTATTTCCCCTGACAAATGTGATAAGCATCTCAACTCACATGAGTGACACTTAACCAATAAATAAATTTGCTGAATAAATGAAAGAAACAACAAATAAAGCAATGAATCATGAGAAATAATTCATGATTAGTGAAGGAACAAAAACAAAAAGGGTGCAATGACTTTTCCTTAAGGCAAAAACAGCCAAATGACCACAAATACTTGAAATTAACAAATCAGTCCAGGTGAAATAACAACGAATAATTGCTACTGCTGTTTTTGAGAATGAACCCATAACTGCTAAATTAGATAGTCCAATGCAGCATACGATTGTTGAAATCATAAATTTCTCCAAAATTTGGCTGGTGCTCCCCTCAAATATGGTAAGCATTAAAGCCGAATCTGCCAAAACGCATTTTCCTTCATGATTTAGGGTATTGACTGCCAAACTTTGACCTCGAGTTTACCAAGAAATCAATCCAATCAAATTTTGAAAAAAAATAATTCATTTTCTAGTGAGAAAATATAACCAAACTCGAGTCAAATATTTGGATTCGTCGCCCATATTTTTGTAATGTTCGACAACCAAAATAACTAACCACATGTTACTTAGCAATAATTTCTACAGTGCAATGGAGTAACAAGTTAAACTACACTCGAGCATAAATGGAGAAAGCTTCACAAATTCAAGCCTGCAAGCGATAAGATTCAAATGGAACATCCCATTTAATCAATATCACAATATTCCCAACAAAAAAACTAGAATTACCGAAGTAAGTGTCAAGCTTTTTTCACAACCAAGTGGAATACCCATTTCACCCAAAAGCTCCTCAGCCTCTCCCCGTTTCCCTCAAAACAGAAATTCCTTAACAAAATGTGACCACATATGGGCTGAATCCCTGTGGTGGCAAGTTCATGAAAACCTCAATCCCTTCTATTCTCCCTTCTTTATACAAACCAGTTAACCACACATTATCAATAACCAAATCAGGCTTCCCTTCATCATAATGTCATCCAATAACTTCATGGCTTCATCAACCCCATTCCTTTGTAAGCAGCTGCAAGCAAGAAAGCATAAGTGAAAATATTGGGGCTGAGCCCCTTTGGCCTCAATTCATCCAATAGCTGCAGGCTTTGCTGCAAATTTCCATGCATACAAAAACCTCTAACCAGAGAATTAAGGGTAACAGCATTCAGAGGTAAACTATACTGGTCCTTTTTCTTAATTAATTGCTTAACATACTCCATGTTCCTTTCTTGCACAACTGGTTAGCCAGATACGTGATAGTAGCCATATCACAAACTGGCCTGAACCCATCATTATTTCCACGACCCTTATTTCCTGAGATATCAAAAGACCAAGTTTTTCTTGTTCTACACCCTCCATTGGACCTTAGATAACGATGATTAATCACAATGATGAGGATAGCAGTATGCAGTTCTTTATCTCGGCACCAAGATAGTTCAAATTCTTATGGGGTTGTAGCCCAATGAGACATAGCCATTTATCTCGATCCCATAAACATCAGGTTGAAGACCAAGGGTTACCTAACACACCTACCCCTGAACCTCAAAAAAGGTAAAAACAAAATTGCAACTTCTAACATAGCTAAGGTATCGACTGTGTTCCCATGAGAAAAGATGTGAGTGACTAAAAACTAAAAGGTAAGGGTAGCTGAAAATTATGCTATTATTTGTGCATCACTAATTAAAAGCCTAGAAACCAGACTTTGCAATGATAAGTGAGAAAAATAGAAATAACTTCATAACATGGAAACTACAAGAATATAACAAAATTTCATACCTCTAAGGAAAATATAAATAAAAATATCATTCTTATGTTCTAGCTCACAATGAAATTCATCTTACGAGTGGGACACATCTGGCCAAAGAGCTCCAAAGCCTTTGAAACTCCTTAAGAACTGTCGACACCACTTTTTGGGGCCAAGTCAAGAATGCTGCTACCCATCACTACAAAAGTATGAAAGGACTAGCAACATCCATCATACGCTCATCAATAGCTCACATATTTTTTCCAAACTTCTTCAAGAGCAATGTGAACCCCTTTTACATAAACTTAACAACATTTCATGGCCATCTCCACCACTACCTAGTCCACCACAGAGGCATGCTCTAAGACTGGTGTATACCCAACTCTACAAATCAACCCTGTGCTAGATTGCAAGTACATCGTGGAGATTGCCCTCAAACTGCAAATGCCAAATACATTGATGAACCTCAGTACCTCCTTCCTTCCAATTCCAAACTTCATTCCCATTGTCACACAGCCCCTGCTCCGACCATACTCAACTCATCCATGAGACCACACTACAGCACCAACTTCCTTGTCAAAGCCAATCCTCTGATCCAACCACCCTTTCTTGACATTGTCTAAACCAGTGTTCAAGCTTGGCAAGTCTTACCCTCGTCACTCAGAACCAGCACCAATTTATTTCTGGATAACACCAACTCAGGTAACGCTAGCCTGCCCAAATCTTGACCACGTCCGCCGGTCTTTAATAGAAGTAACAAACCAATTGTTCTGTTCCCAATCTTGACTGGTCAAACTTGGGGGCACTGCAAGCCAACTCAGACCTACCCACTGTCAATTTCGGTGCTCAGTTTCATGTTTGCCCAATCCGGACATCATTAACCCCATTCTTTCTCTGCTCAGAACGATTCTCTTCAAAAGTTAGAGACCTCAAATAATGTCCATACTAAAAGACGTATAAGCTCTTACTGCTTTCACTTGGGACTGCTTTCACTTGTGCAAGATCTCCACCTTGCCTCCAGAATGGAAAACTCAATTACAGGTACCATACACTAGGGTAGTGCTGTTGCTCAACTAATGATGCCCCCATAGTCTAGAATATAAATTTTATTCTTTGAAGGAACATAGTAGAATCTGAACAATCTTCAACAAAATCATCAATACGACCAGTAAATGAAGTCATGTAAAATTAGTTTACTGTGTAAAGTAAATAGAATGCTTCTTTATCCTACTGAAGTACAGATTAATTACCTACTGATTTGACTAGACCTGCTAATTTTTTTAATAATATTTACTTGGAGCTCCTTCTCCAGCCAATATCTAATTGGTGCAAAGTATACACAATAGATAGAAGGGATTTTTTTCTATAACCTTAAGAAAATTCATATAACTGAAAAGACCAAAAATTGGAGGTTATGCAAATCATAGTATACAAACAAAATGAAACTTCTTGGTGCTGAAAGTGCATGCCAAAGCTTGACAAATAACTATTACTTAAAACCAATGTTTTAAAAATCGGCGATCCGATCCGGAATCGGGCGATCCGGATTGGGTATCGCCCCAGCCTGTTCAGGATTTGGTGAAAAAAGGCGATCCGGCAGGTTTTTTTAGAAAAACAATGTCATGAATCGTTTGATGATGTCATAAGTTGGATTTGATGATGTCATGAATCGTTTGATGATGTCATGAATCGTTGTGCATGAATCATTTTGGAATTTGTAAAAAGGAAAGCGTATACAAATTAATTATTTACAAGAGTAGCTCTCGAAATTTTTTCAAAATTTAGGGCTTATGTTGCCACGTTTCCTGCAATTGTCAGTCGCCATTGTATGTCAAAACACGTCCCAGTCACGCAATCACATTAAGGTGCAATTGTCAGTTGCCAATTGTCAGTTACCACTGTATGTCAAACACGTCCAGTCATGCAATCACATTAAGGTGCAATTGTCAGTTGCCATTGTATGTCAAACACGTCCCAGTCACGCAATCACATTAAGGTGCACAAGCCAAAAACTTTTTATCATAGTGAATTCGCCTTTAAAGCTTTGATGTGGGATAATTCAATGCACACCCTTTGCAGTGCACAGCCACTTCTTGAACCCTTTTATAAATAGCGCTCTCTCTCTCATATGTACAATGATGTATAAATTAAATGCTCTATAAATAGATCTCTCTCTTATAAAAAGACATCTATCAAATGAAATGGTCTATAATTCTTCTTAAGATTAATTATATTTATGTATTTTTAAGATTTAATCTTTTTTAAGATTTAATCTTTTTTAAGATTTAATCTTTTTTAAGATTAATTATATTTATTTCTTTTTTATAATATACAAACATAAAGTGCATATAATTACAAAAATAAAATTCCATATAATAATTTACAAAAAGTAACATAATTATATGAAATTGTTGTTTATTTATGTTAATAACTTAATATAATTATGTTAAATTTATATCAATATAATTATTTTTATATGCATTAAAATTATTTTTAAATTATATGGAAGTGTTTTCTAATATTTTTAAATTATTTTGATGTAATATTATAATACTATATTATAATTAAAATAATACTATATTAATGTTAACGTAACATAAGTTCATACAGGGAAAGAACATCTCAATATTCGTATATTGATGAAACAAATGAAAGTTAATAATGTAGCACCTCCATTTCTTATTGGATTCCTTAAAAACAACATTTATAATAATTTTTAATATTTTGTTTGGATTTTTTTATTGCCGAATCCGACTGATTAGGCCGATTCCCGATCCAAACCGCCGATTCACCGATCCTAATGGGTCTTTGGGGTGCCCGATCTGAGGCACCGATCCGTTTTTTAAACCATTGCTTCAGCCAATATAGAATTGGTACAGAGGCCATTGCTAGATAAGAAGCATACCCATGTGCAAAATGATAACAAGTTACAACAATAAACAGGGGAAAAAATAGAGCATTACAAAAAAATTAACAAATAACATATAAGAAAAATGCAAAGAGAGAGACAGAGAACCAGATGTGTTATCTTTTCATTTGTGCATGTTATCCATCAAACAAAAGAAGAAATCCTCACCATTTTTCTCAGTGCTTAGCTTTCACAGAATTATTCTCCTTTATGCGCTTGCGATTATCAAGCTTGACGAATCGCTTGAGCTCTTCATATGGAAGAGTCTGCGAATCTTTTCTGCTGAGCTCACTGAGCGTTGGCTGCTTATCGAGGAGATGGAAAAGCCAATCTGGGTATTCAGAATCAGCCAGTATCTTAGGATCTGAACCTTCTTTCCATATGTTTGCTCCATAAACAGTTGTGGACTTCACTTCTTTGCTCAAAATCGAAGCTTTGGGAGCATCAGCACCTCCACCCTTTGATCCCTTCTTTGATTTGCCACCTCCTCCTGCTGCTGCAAAAGCTCTGCAACCACTTACGGCAAGCGTATTTGCTTTCTTCAAAGGCCTTAATAAAATGGAAGTCATGGCTTCTTTCCCTTATGCTCGGGATTTCACGGTCAGTCTTGAGGTTTTACAGGCTCAGTGCTAAGTCATTGCAAGATTACTCAAATCAGAACAATGAATACCTTAAAAGAGAAAAAATACAACAAAAAAAACCCATACCAACATTTTTCTACCAAACAAATTGTGCTATAAAATTAAATAAAGACGGTAGACCCTCCTTTTCTTGTGCCCTTAGACTTTCTCAGTAATTATCTTACATAGAAAAAACCAGAAAAAGGAAAAAAAATGATTGTGAAACGCAAAAAAAAAAAACACATATTAACATTGTTACTCTTTCACAATGTTTCAAACATCTGGTACAACATTTGGTGTAAAAATAGGTAATTTCAACAATTGAGATAGATTTCTAAAAATTAAAAACCAGCATTGCACAACTAAGTTTATGCCCAGCAAATAAGCACTAATAATAAAGAAATGAAAACAGGGCATCAAAATCCAACAAAGTAACATAATTATGTCACTGTAAAACTGCTTAATTTTATATCATAATCAGGAAGCATATCAGCATAAAAGAAATAGAAAATAATCCATATTATAATCTTCAAAACATAGCTTCAAAATTCATGGGAAATTTACTCAATAAGTATTTGAGTAGAATCTTTCTAGTTTTAGGATAAAATTGAAAAAAAAAAATCAACAAACTAACTGTAATTCCATGAGGATGAACAAGCCTCACTGTAAACATCACAAAATGGCTTCTATACAGAACAAAAAAGCCAGCAAAAAATAAAATAAAATAACAGAAAAGATACCAAAAAAAAAAAAAACCATACCCACATTTTTCTACATAGCAAAAAAATAAGCCAAAAATAAAAAAGCAACAGATTTCCATAGGAAAATCATAGAAAAAAATTGTTTGCATTGGTAATTAAACAAATCAGCACCGTCTAACGGAAAAAAGAAGGAAAACCACAAGAATAAAACCCATGACCTTGTTGATGAAGATGGGATAATTTGTATGGAAGTTCATAAGAGGAAAACCCTACCTTGTTTGGTGAAGAATCTTTACACTGAGATGAAAAAAACTAGAAAAAAAAAAGGAGAGAAAAATCTTACCTTATTGAAGAAGATGAAAGCTTGCAATTGGATACTTGCTTGAGGAAGATGAGGTATGTTTTATGAGGCTTGCAGATGATCCTCGCTTGTGGGACTGGGACAGAGGACGCAAAGGGTTGAGACTTGAGAGAGTGGTGAGGGTCCCAAGTTTACATATCGAGCCGACCTTTAAGTAGCATCCAGAAATGCAGTTTCAACATGAAAATATTTGATTTTAACCTTAGTAATGATCTTACGATAGCCTCCCAAACCGATCACCGTTAAATTTGATATACATATCTAAAAAAATTACCATTTTAAATTTAATAAAAAATTTAAAAAATTTATTATAGATATCTAAAAAAGTTATCATATGAATGTGAGACTTGAATTTTTAAAAAATTTATGCCAAATTTAATAGTAATCTTTTAAAATCCTACATACATGAATGTGGGAGGGTCTCATAAGATCATCACTCTTTAATCTTAATATATAAAGTTTAAAGCTTGAAAATTTAAAAATAATGTAGATCGACAAAATCTTGAAAATTGACCTTCTAAAAATGTATTACAAAATACACTATTTTCAAAACCTCAAATCCATTTTTTTCTCAGGTCTATCGATCAATTTGAGATACTTGAGCATCAAAATAATCTCATCAAGTGAAATTTTTGAGGTAGGCTCTAATTTGATTGTTTCAAGCTTCGGCTCTCTATAAACTTTTATTTTTATATATTTAATTTATTACTGGTTCTAAATTTTAATATTGGGAGTGAGAGAATGTCCTAAAAAAAAATTCTTTCGTAATACAAAATACTGCTAAAGTTTGTTATAATGAACTTAAATGCTAATAGCCATTTTTTTCTTTCATTTAGTTTGTCAGAAAATAATAATTTCAAGTATAATGTTAATGTTCAATAACAAACTCAATTATAAAAAATTAGTCTATGAAAAATGTTAAAATGAGGCATAGGCCTCATGAAAAAAAGTAAAGCCGCATATAAAATCTCACAAAAAATATAGTTTCAGAGTCAAAAAAAATACTTGAATCGATAATCTCAATGTTGACTATTATAGATGTGAAAAAACAAAAAAAAAAAAATATAGATGTATTGTAAAAAGGTCTAAAAAGGTATGTATTGTAACTCGTTACTTAGACCATCTATTTTCAAGTATTTATAGATTTGCGAGATTTGTATGACTTTTTGTAATATGAAACTAATAATAGAATAGACTTTCACTCGTCTATCTAGGAAAGAATAAAAAACAGATAAACTGTTGTTTATAACGAGAAATTGAGAGGATTTCACATCTCATATTCCCTTATCTATCGGTATAAAACTAGTTAAATTAAAAATCAATAGAGATTAAGTAGATTATGATCGAATTATGATTTTAAAAATTTCATCTATCCTCTATTAATTGAGGAAAATATAAATCATTTATTTTTGCGTGGATTTTCTTGCTACAATTTTTTGTATCATTGCTTTTACACTGTTTATCTTATTTTTAATGATTTTCTAGGAGTTATTTTTTTAAGCCTTGTATACCATGCATTTATTGTTTTTTTCTATTTTTTGGCTGTCCGAGATTTTTTGTGTAATTGTTTGCTTCCGGCAAAAACCTAATCAAAATGATCTTTTTGAAATTCTCGTATTCAACAAATTCATCTAAGACATTCTTTTTGCCCTATCTTGTCTAAAATCTAATGCAATTGGAGTACATTATATTTGCTTTTTTTTTTACGAGTAAGCCTCGTAATTCCATCCAAAAGGCAACCACTATATTTGGTATTTTGGTTTGAAAGGTACTCATGTGTATTTCAAAACAATAATATGATTTTGTGGTTTTTTTTCAAAGATATTCAATAAAGTTGTGGGTTTGAATCCCATATTGAAGTTGAGATAATTAGTTGAGTTATATTTAATAGTTTGCATTCATATGCCTTATACTCTTTGTATAAAGTAAGAGAGATGATACATGAGCAGAGTGCATTCAACTTACGTGTGTGTATATGTATGTGTGTATGTGCGAGAGTGGAAACACTCGATAACACACTTTACACTTCGTGAGAGGCACCCAAATATGAATTGGGCTCGAGGCTCAAAAGCTTGTGGTTTTTATTCTCACCATTAACACTAGACCACTACCACATTAAAAAAACAAACTCTTAGAAATATAGGAATGATTATGACTTCTATCTACAAAAAATTCAATCGCTAGTAAATATGGTATGTCCATTTACATAAAGAAATAGTGTTAGATCGATGCCTCCAAGGGTTCATTTGAACCCTAGGATTTGAAGATTGACTCATCATCACTATAAAGGTAATCTTTATATATTAAAAAAAGATTTCAAGCTCTTAAAGAGTTACATTTGGCCATCCATGAAATTAATGTTTAAATAATTAATGATCTGGATTGAATCTTGTTGATTCGGACCGGGAATTGATCAAGCCAATCCAAATCCTTTGATATATTGAGTAGTGGACGGTTCTCCCAATGAACGGATCAAAATGGAAAAAAAGTGATTTTATTGGATGAAAATGTGAAAAAATAAATGTCCTTTTTGTGCTTACAAAATTATTATAATAAATAGAATAAATATTATGTACAAGATTATTATTAAGAGATAATAAATGTTTCATCCAAGATGGTTGATTGTATATAATAAATTTATTGTTAGGGATTAAATAATGTAGTAATTTAAAACCAAAATATTATAAACAATATTTTTTTGCTACCTTGGTATTATTTCAAAATTCAAATAGCATACACCCACTTCAAAACACCATTTTTTCTCTGATCCCATCACAAGCAGCATGAATACATGAAAACAGACACCATAAGAGGAAAGATCATCTCAAAACCAACATTTCCTCCCCCATCATCTCTAGAGAGAGATAAAAGTCCCAAAAAATAACAGGCAGAAACACAACCAAAATGTAATAAGGAGCTATTCAAATAGTAAAAGTCATCTCAATATTCACTTAATTTTGCATGTTAATAAAATTAATAATGCGTTACCTTTATTTTTCTTGAAAACATGAATAACATTATTTATAATAATTTTAGTGACTTTTTTAAAATTTTAACGCTTGATCCGGCCTAATATCCGATCCCAACCGCTGATCTGCTAATTGGACCCGGTTTTCAGATGAACAATCTGAGTCAACGATCAACGATCCGTCTTCAAAAAGACCTTGCTTCAAGTTGAGGGCCTAGGCTTAGTCAGTTTGAAAAGGAATTATTTTATCTATTTTTTTTATCAAGATGGTTGCAAATAAACTATTGGCAGTACGCGTTTTGGCAGATCGAACGTCTTCCATTCACTGTATGTGATCAGAAAGAAAAACGTTCCCAGAATCTTAGACGACTTCCTCTTTCAGTTGTGGAAAGAGCTCAAAGAAACAAGACTCGTGATAAGTCTTCGAGCCTGTTTCTAGGGTTTAAACTTTAAACTCAGAACGATCCCTTTCTGCTCTGCGCAAGCTTTTGATAGGTCTGCTACATTGTTTAGTGTTTTTTTCTGTAATATTTTGTGGTATTTGTTCCTCTTTCTGCAATTTGTGTTCTTGATTTCGAGCCTTAGAATCCATGACATGTTTTCCTCTTTGCAGCTAATTAATTTCATGAGGTTTTCATAAATGTTCATTCAAATTCAAACTCTGGGGCTCATGACACTGCTAGACTGAATTATAGTATTACTTATCTACTTTTTTATCTAAGAGTATGATTTCCATGGTTTGTATGGGATTACTATCTTGGTCTAAATCTGTAGGCCTTGGGTGATATGAAATCAATTATCATGATATCCATGTGTTCATTTTTTGTATGTATGATCCATTTTTTTGTTGGTTTGAGAAGTGGTTTTTAGCTTTAAATAATTAGCTAAATGTGAATCTGATATATATTATATGCATATAGTGTAACATTTTTCCTTTTTCTTTTCATCCTTGATGTATTGGCTGTGGAAACCTGGAAGCTGGCCTATAGGGGTTATAGTTGTACACTAGAATATGGTGATTTTTTGTTTGCAGATCTCTTAGCACATATATAGGTGCAAATGTTCCCTTTCTTATCATCTCCTTAGTTGTGTGTTCTCAAACTGTAATAGCAGTGTATTGGTTCATTTCATTATTTTTTGTTGGCAATTCTTTTCTATGTTATTTATGAAAATAAACAGATTTCTAAACTTCTATATGCATCTATTCTTGAATCATTTGTTCCCTTTTATCATTGAAAAGTTGATTTTCTTTTTCTTAATTTGTTTAAACCATTACTGTTGGGTGTTTCATGATCATGACGATCTATTCCTCTTTGATCCGTAAATTTGAACCAAACACTAAAGGAATTCTCCGCTAATGTTTGTTGGAAGCAATCACTGGGCGAGGCCGGAAATGTTTTCTGGAATACAATACAGTAATAAAGTAACTGAGAAAGTATCAAATCAGGGGTTAAAAATCCTTGCAAAGCCATAAAGGGGTCAAAACATCTTGCCCGTTAAACCCTTGATATTCTTTTTAACTGGTTACCTCGTCGGAAAATGCCTTTAGGATTGAGTACACTGCACAAGCACAGGAATTACATCAGGGAAAATCTCAAGGAACGCCAGTCATTCCTTAGTTTCAAGTGTGCTAAATGGGTTTCCCCTGCCCATTTCAAATGAGAGAAATGTTGAAATGGATGGTTTAGATCTTTTTATATGCTTTAGTCACTGTTTGCCTATTCTGGGTCATATCTCTTACTTGCTCTTTCCTTTCTCTGTCTCTCTCTTCCAGTTTTGCACTTTCCTCTCCCCCCGCTTCTCCTCTCTCCTTCTTCCTCTCTCCTTTCTGACTTCTTCATTTTCTCTCCACCCCATTCGAGAGGACCTAGAAGCTTCATCCAAGACTCTCTCCACCAGCCCACAACTGAGGTAAGGCCATCTGCCTGTCTCGTTTTCTCAAACTCGACTCTCTCTCCTCCCACCCATGCAGAAGAACTCCTCTCATGGCCTACTCTCTCTTCACCACTACCTTGAGAGCTCTCACACTCTTCCCTCTCTCAAGGAAGGATCCACCTTACCTCAAGTCGAAGTTCCACTCTAGAGCTCCATTTTCTATGTTTCAAGTCCCATTCCCTATTCCTCCCCAAAGGAACAGAGTTCCCCATCAAGAGGACCATAGATCTTCATGAAGGAGAGAATGGATCTGCATCAAGCTTGAAGGTGAGTCTTTTACTTTTTTTTGGCAGGGGGGGGTGTGGTTTTTGCTTCCTTTAATTCCCGGTTCAGCCTTCTCTCTCTACATCTCTCTTTCACAGTTTCTCTCTCGACCTCTAATCTTTGAAATCCCCCTTTGTCATCTGTCATCTCCCACACTTGCTCTCTTACACTCTTTAAGACTGGGACAAAATGGAGTCAACACCTCCGAATTATTAATCAAGAAAATAGAAGATCAACAAAAATTAAACTTTGAGAAGCAACATGCAATCATGGACCTATTAGCTATGAGTTTAGTGCTTCATGTCGAAAATTTAGATCAGTAAAAACTATGGAATATTTGTCTATGAAAGTTGCGAATCAAACAAAATTATCCTTGAAATTGTATAAGTCAGTTGTTTTGGAAGAATTTGGTTATATAGTTTGATCTTCAAAACATTGGCTACATCTGCAGAATCCCACAACTATCTTTTGCAAGTTTTCGACTTAGAGTACTTAGAAATTTGATTTGGCGGGTCTTAGAAAAGAAAGGAGTCTCCAGGCACTACAATGGCTTGTTGAGAGATACGTACGATGGGGCGAAACTAGTGTACCAATAACTATTGGATAGATGAGTGAGGTTTCAATAACAATAGGTCTACATTAGGGGGTCAACATTGAGCCCCTACCTCTGTCTTAGTTATGGACGACTTAACTAGGCACCTATAAGATGAAGTACTGTGGTGCATGTTGTTTGCAAATGACATAGTTTTGATCGATGAGATCCATTTCTTGATTGACGGCCTTGAAATACCAAAAAGAGCGTACTTTCGATATCATGGTTCGATAATCCAGGAAAATGGAGAGATTGAGGAAGACGTCGCACATAGAATTAGAGTTGGGTGAGAGAAGTAGAGATGTGCAACCAGAGTTTTATGTGATTTCCATGTACAAATGAAGCTGAAGGGCAAGTTCTACATGGTAGTTGTGAGGCCAGCTTTACTTTATGGGGCAGAATGTTGGGCGGTCAAAAAACAACATACCCATAGAATTAGTGTATCTGAGATGAAAATGTTTAGATGGACGAGTGGCAAGACAAGAAAGGATAGAATTCAAAGTGAATATATTTGGGAAAATTTAGGTGTGACACCAATAGGGGATAAGATGAGAGAAAGTAGACTTATGTGGGCAGGCCATGTGTGGCGCAAATCTAGTACAACACCTATTAGGAAGTGTGAGTTAATTCAAGTGGAAGGCTAAAAAAAGGCAAGGGGTAGAGGCCCAAAAGGACATAGTTGGAAGTGGAGAAAAGATATGGGGACTTATGACCTCATTGAGGGTATGACCCTTAATAGAGTAGAATGGTGGACTAGGATTCGTGTAGCCAACCCTAATTAATTGGAACAAGCTTTGATGATGATGATGATGATGATGATGATAATTTGTTTTGAAACTGCCACTTGCCTAGTAATATTTCAAGCTATAGCGATTTTTCAAAATTTGCACTCCCTTGCCATATTTTACACCTTCCTTGCAACTATATTCATGAATTTATATACTTCATATCCATTACACTCGATTTCCCTTTAGAGGAAATTTAACACTTCAGGCTTGCCCTATAAGGGTATGCACGCCTTGTATAATCAGCAACAATGTTCTTTTTTGGTATTTATGATTCTGCATATGCAAGTTAGTTGAGTTCAATCTGATGGCCACTATTAGCAGTAGTTGGCCTAAATAGTTTAATGTTGTGTTATCTGGTAAAGTTCTTTTCTTTTGTAATTTGGATGTAATTTGTGACCAAGTCAATTCAATAGTAACTTTTGTTATTGCTTGCTATTGCACTATTAGTGAATTGAGTTGGTCATGAATTACATTAGTAAAAGCTTTAATTCTAACTAAACTAACGGTTTACTTAGCCAAAAGAAAAGAACAATTCAATATTATCTTTGTGTCATACCCTTGCTGCTGTATATGTTTATGACAACTTTTAAATGCCTTCTAGTCTGGACACATTGCTTTGAGAATGATCCTGACCATGATCCTTGTCTCTGTACCTGTAAGCCTCAGCCTTTATCATAGTAGTTTTTTCAGGCATGGAGCTCCTTTTGTATCATTTTGACAAAGTTATGTTCTATCCTTTCTTTCTTGGCTAAAGTGGGCCATATTCCTATCTTTCCTTTTGGATTGGGAAAAGGCTAAAGTGATGATGATGATTAGGTGAGTGATGTCTGCCTTGTGCGGCCGTCTTCCTAAAAATTGTGGCATCTGGTTCCAGGTTTGGAGGATCTGAGGGATTGTCCTGATGCTTGCCAGAATATCTGAGACTTCATTCTCTCCGTTGTATATGTTGGGTGAACTCAACTTAATAATGGGTGAGGAATCACCCTCTATCCATATCCTTTGAACATTTAGTGTAAGTTTTTGAATCCCCACCATGATAACGTGTAACTCAGCATCACTATTAGTGCCTTAATTGATCTAAAACTATTTCATTTGAGGCATTTACTTTAGGAAAAATCCATTTTAAGAACCATAGACATTGTGAAAGGAAAATCTTCCCCATCATACAGAAATGCATCAAGTGTTCATCAAACAATGTATAATCAAAACCCTTGATGTAAAAGAGATAAATGCACCATGAAATTCATGGCTATTGATTCCTCTTGACACTACAGATGCTAAAATGTGAAGGTCTGACCTTCAAAGAACTCTGTTAATCTCTGAAGTGCTGCTTGAATTGATGTCACTCTTCTATTCCTCTCCCCTATTTCTCTATCCTTTTTTGTAACTCGTTGTGCATAAAAATGCCCAGAATAGCCTATCTGCATTCAAGAGATTCATAATTGGGTGACTCTTTCCTCATTGAGAATTGTATTCATTTATAGGGGCAATGCTTTAACATAATTCATCTAGCGACGTAAACTTACATTGTAGTTGGTGTAGTTCTTAGCAAGCACAAACCTGTAGAATTTTATGTCAATATAGGTTATTTGCCTTTGGGCGTCTCTTATATACTTTCCTTTCTTATCCTAGTATCATTACCTGTTAAAAAGGGCCTCTTGGGAGATCTACACTTCTTTGCTTGGCCATATACCTATGTTTTTGATCCAGTATATTCAATTATTCATTTACACCCTTGTTTGTCTTTTTGGGAGTTCACACGTGTTTGAATTCAGCCATATTTTCACATGTGTTTGAATTCATCCATATTACATGTTGATATTAAAAGTAGATTGCAGAATACTGGAGAGCAACTCATAAGTGCTCGTGTTTGCAATCTTGGCCACCTCTTGTTTATCATGGAGAGGTTATCCATG